GGGGCGGGGGACCCGGCCCCAGGCCCGGGCTCTGGCCTCCGGCGGGGGTCTCCTCTGCCATCGCGGCCGCCGCCCTTCCTCTGTCCGCTCGAGCGCTGGTGCGGCCAGCACCACCCTGTCTGATAGTGCAGCCGTGGACGTCACACAGGGCTCTGGTCACCGGGGCTGACATCACAAGCGGTCAGCCGGTGAGGTCACAGAGGGCCAGGCCACTCCTGACCCCGCGAGGTCACTTCCCCAGCAACCGCGACACTGCGGCAGGCCTTAAAGTCACGTGCCCGACCTGGGTGGGCACCCGCAACGGTCTCTTCCCGGGGCCCCCACCGAGCTGCCGAGCCGGGGCCGCCGCGCCCTCTCTCGGGCTTTCGGCCTCCGGGGCCCTGCGGAGACGGTGAGGCTTTCAGAGGTGACGGCCAGGGCGGGCCGTGGGTGGCCACCTTTTCCTGGGGACCCCCAACTGGAGAAGCTATGGGTCGGTCCGCCCCTTCCCGTCAGGCCTGTCCTGGACAAGGGCGCGCCCTTGGAGGCGAGGTCTGACGTCGAGGCCCTGGGAGGACTGTCGTCTCAGCTGGCGGCCCCCGCAAAATGAGCCTTGCCGTGTCCTCCTTGGACGAGAGCCACGAGAACGCCCGTTTTGAGGCCGCGTGACACTTGCTGTGAATGCAGAGTGCCCCGCGGGGAAACACCCCGCGTCGGCATCGGGGTCAAGGGCGCAGCGAGACTGTCCTCGTGGCACGCCAGAGCCAGGGTGTCTGCCGCGTCCCCCAGAGAGCCCTGCAGGGCCGCTGCCGTCCCCAGAGGGCGGAGGCCTCGGCTGGCGGCTGAGCTCCTGTGCCCGGCCGGGGTGGCTTCTGGCAGCCTCTGGAGCCCCAGCGGCCCCGGGCAGGGACACAGCTGCAGGCAGCCGCGCCCTGGAGCCCCCCCCCCCCCCCGCGCGGGCAGAGGCGCGCTGGCCTGGGCTGGGCCGGCATCTGGCTCCCTGCTCCCGCCTCGGGCTGAGGAAGAGGAGCGTGCTCACTTTCTCCCCAGACAGGCCTCCCCCACCGACTCCCCCGTCCTTCGTGTGCACGGAGCTCAGCCGTGTCCCGGACGTGTCCGGGGGGCCGAAATGCCCTGCTCACTGAGGGCTGCAGGCAGCGTGCGCCCACACGCCGGCACGCGGGCAGGCGCCGGGGCCCTGCATGCAGGCTGGGGCGCGGCATCGTTTCCCGGCCTGCGCGCCTTTGGGCCCCGTGGCCTCCCTGAGCCTCTGTTTCCGGGGCTTGTGGGTACAGCAGCTGCGCCATGAGGCCCCGGGCACTAAGCCCTCAGTCCCAGGAGTGGTCCTGGCAGACACACTGGTGCTACCTGCTAAGCGGACCCAAGGGTCCCCGAGGCCGTGGCTCCACAGGGGCCATTGTGCCCCGCAGCGCTCTTCCTCCTGGACGGCTGCCTGCCTCGGCCACAAGGCCGCGGAGTGGTGCGCACAGCAAGGCAGACACGCCAGGGCGGTGGCCGGGACTCACGGCATTTTATTGAAAGGGAAGCAACACTGAGCTGTGGACGTGAGTGGGCTTCGCCCAGGGACCACTGAAGGGCAGACTTCAGGGCGAGATGGTATGAAAAGCTGAAAAGCCAGTCAGGTCACCAGGCCGGACCAGCAGCTGCTGTGGGTCCTCAGGCCACAGGAGAAACTCTGGGACCCCAGTGTTCCGCTGCCCCATGACAGGCTTCTGCTGCAGTTGTTTAGGGGCACCCCTGCCCTGCACGCTTCGCCCAGGGCAACAGCAGGCCTCCCCAGGCTGAGAGCCACACCTGCTCCTGCACCGGGAAAGCTGACTGTCCATGCCTTGGACAGCGACAGCCTGCTTCATCGAACAGCTACAGGGAGAAGGGGTGTGTCTGGAGCTCCACCACACCAAGGCCAGGTAACACCATTCCCCATGTCCAAACCACTGCCCTCTCCCCACTCTGCCTCGTGTGGCTGCTGCAGGCCTGGCCAGGTTCTTCTCCTTGGTGAGGAAGCAGATGCTCCCATCCCTGCACTCAAAGCAGCTGCAAGTGTCAGGAGGTACCCCCTGTCCTGTGGATCTGCCATGGAGCTGTTGGGTTCCGGGCTGTACCAGCAGCTCTGGGGGTGTGGCTGACCCAGTTCAGTGTGGACCCCACCTGAGACCTCAATGGGTCTGGACAAACGTCTAGCTGTCTACACAAGCCACCTCTGGCCGTTTCTGGCCTCAGCCACTCTATCCGGCATCCTCTACCCTGCTGTAGTGTTTTCTGGCACAGCCAGTGTTCCTGTATGTCAAGGACCAAACCCTCTGAAGGTCACAGCTGCGCGAGCGGTAGCAGCTTCCAGGTGTGTGCAGAAATTCAAGGGGGACAGGCCACGTCCCATGCAGGGGGTGTGGGGGTGGGGAAGGAGTGCCAGCTGGGCCCTCGGCCACAGACGAGCTATCCCCAGTGCCAGCTGGTGAAAACGCAGGCCCACAGAAGAGGCCGTATGGAACCAGGAGGGAACACACTATATTACAATGCTAAAAGAGTCGTATAAATACTGTACAGGCACGAGTCACCCCCGCACGGTCTGGCCAAGGATCCTGGAAAGTGCTGTCAGTGGCCAGCCCCGTGGAACCACCCAGATTGAAAGGGGAGCCCCTAGGGCCTGAGCGGTGAGTTCCTCCGATCACCCAGAACAGCCCCGTGCCAGGCTGGCCCCCCGTCATCACTGAGTCCCAGAACAGACGTGGTGGGTATGAAGCTGGGTGCTGGGACGCACAGTGCGTGGCCGTCCTCTGGTTCCTGTGCCTGGCCACTGCGAAGCCTGGCCTCAGGGAGAGGCTTTTCCTGCTGGCACTTCCCGCTGTCTTCCTCATGCGTGGCCACCGCCCACCATGGCCCCCCAGTGGTCTGTCCTTGGGGGTGAGTCCCCACTAGGCATTGAGTGCAAACAAGGCATGAGATGGGGTGCCTGGAGCCAGCTCAGGCTCAGGGCCGCTTCTGGGTGGGCGAGCATGAGGCAGGGCAGGGCGGGAGGAAAGCCGGCCCGCCAGGGCTGTCCAGGACGTGGTCTCTAATCCGGCATCTCGATGTTCAGTTTGGGAGGTGGGAGGACATACTTTCCAGGACTCTGGGTGACGACGACCCTGGTCTTCTTTCGGAACATGGGGGCAATTTTAGGAGGCTCTGGAACAGGGGTGTCTTCACTTTCCTCACTGTCTTCATGATGGAGGTCGTAGGAGATGTTCCCATATTCTCTCAAAAATGGGAAGATTTCCAGGAGAAACTGGCAGAAGTCCTTGCGAATCCCAAACCACCCTGAAACAGAAGAGATTACTTTGCAATCATTGCCTTTCTTCTTGACTTCCTCAGAGAGCGTCCTGCTCTCTGCGGGGACCATCACCCCAAGCCTGGGGCCACGTGCCAGGGTGGAAGAAGGCAGCCCTAGCTCTGTGGCACTCCAAGTAGGGCCAGCACGTGCGGCAGGCACCAGGGCCTTGAAGGGCACCGTGGGCTCAGCTCACACCTGCTCAGGAGCTCCAGGAAAGAGGCACCCAGGGCATCCTGACGGGCGCTGAGGCTAGCCCCTCTCCATGGGGGCCACGCACCGGCAGCCTCCAGACACTCTACCCACTCATCCTCGGTCCTGGTCATCTCCCGAGGAGAGGATCTGCAGCATGCCCAGGGATCTGAGAGGATGGTGGGCAGGCGCTAGTGCTGGTCCGGGCCAGGCATCCAGGGGCCAGCTGACAGCTCCCAGTCTGGCCACGTTTCCTGGGATGGCCTCCAAAGGATCTCACGGCCTGTGGCTGGAAAGCAGAGTGGCATGGGCCTCGGCAAGGTGGGATGAATGGGGAGGAAACAAGCTGGGGGCCTTGGGTTCTGTGGTGACTCCTCCGGGTGTGGAGCCTTTGGGCACCTTGGGAAGCAGGTATCTGGAGGCCCGTGCTGCAGTAGAGGGGACAAATCAGGAATCCCTGCTACACGAGTCCAAGCTGTCACGGCAGTGCACCTGCCGAGGAGATGGGACGCAAGCCACAAAAGCAGGCTCTTGCCATGGAAGATTCCAGACCTTCCTCACCCCTGCCTTTGCTACCCAAACGCCTTAGTGGGGCCACTGTGACAGGGCAGGGTCATGTGTAGACACATGATATGCACGCCCGTGGGAGACACACAGGCACGTGCACACACTCCTGCAGAGACACAGATCACATCCGCCCGCTCTGACACGGTGCGCACTTACAAAGACGCGCACAGAACATGTGTACCCAGAGACACGCGGGGCAAGGGCTTCTGCAGTAGGGCACGTACAGTGATTTCCTCCCTTCTGTCCAAACGTGGTTGCCATCAGCGTGATCAAGGACAGCCAGAGGGGGACAAAAATGGGGACACACGAGAAGGCGTTGTGGCCGTCCAGCTTGTGAACCAGCAGGATCTGAGGAGAGAGCGGGAAATCTCATGGGGGGTGTCCCGGGAACACCGCTGTGAGCGTCCCCTGCTCCCCACGTCAGGACTCAGGTCTCACCGGTGACTCGGCAACTGCTCTGCGGAGGCCGTGGCCCATGCTCCCGTCCCTCCCATGCACCCGCCGGGCTCTCCGGGAAAGCCTGCTGCTCTTGGCTCAGAGAGTTGCGCCGCTTGCCCTCACTCGCCATACAGCCTCACCACGGAGCCCCTGTGACAGGCAGCTCGTGCTCAAGAGCTGGCTGGACAGTGCACCTGTGCCTACACAGCACGGCCTGGACCCTTGTGGTAGTCCCAGCTCCCGAGGACAAGGGGACCTGCCCTCCCGGCACCCACCAGGCGGTTTCCAGGAAGAGGCACGTGCCTGTCCCGAGCAGGGCTGCAAAGGCCCACCCAGCAGGGTGCACAGCTCACCTCAAAAGTCAGGAGAGGCACAACGATGGTCATCCAGCTCAGCGCCATGGTGATGTGCGTCCTCCGCTGTTCTGCAATCACGTCCATGGAGCGCAGGAACAGCACAGACCACACGATGTAGTACAGGACCACCAGGCACAGGAAGGACATGAGGATCCACAGGGGCACGCACACGACCTGCACAGAAGGGGACGAGCGTCTGCAGCGGGACCCCGCCTGTACGGGCCACCAACCTCATGCTGGCCTCAGTGTGCCTGAGCCTGCAGAGGACGTCCACGGGGACAGGTCGTGGCGAGGGCCTTCGGGGCGAGACCCTGCAAGCTGCTCCTCCGAGGCATGTGCCCGAGCCCTGCACTGTGCCCTTCCCAGTGGCCCCTCCCTTACTCTGCTACCCTCTCCCTGGAGGTGCCCTGGCAGGAGACTGGGGGAAGGCCCATGCTCCCTGGTATCCAGGCTGCTTAGAGCCTCAGGCTGGGGCACACTCCGCCCAGCCACCTGGGCCAGGGAGAGCGCAATGGGCGGCTGTCTTACTCGAGTGTGGGGCCTCGGCTGGCCAGGCTCTCAGTGGCTGCGCCTCCCTCCTGTGCTGCCTGGGGCCAAGGGCTGTTAATCCATGCCTCATTCCTTCTTACAGAGCTTTCTTTTGGGGACCAGCATACATGTGCAAGTCTGCACCACCCCAGGTAGGACATGGGCCACGCCTTGCCCTCACCAGACTCCCTGTGCTGTCCCTGCACTGTCATACCCTCCCCCACCGTCACCCAGGACCGGGGTCACTACTCCCTTGTCAAGGCTACCTACTGGACTCACACGGCATACCCCTTCCGAGATTGCCCCTCTCACTGGCACAACGCTGGCGATACAAGGGTGTCCTGTCTGGACCTGTTATGGCCAGTGGGCCTCCTCCACCTGGATGTGCCGCGGTCTGTGCAGCCACTCACCCGAAGGAGGATGGGGCGCTGTCTGCTGGGGTGCTATCTACTGGGGGCCTGACCTGACCTCTTTGCTTCTTGGGGGGGAGAACCAAGATGGCGACTGCTGTGGCACGTGCTTGCTCTGGGTTGAACTTTCTAGAAATCATCAGACTGCTTTCCAGAGCACCCTAAGTTTGGCATAGCAGGCATGCTGTGCCAGTGACCTGTGCCTGTGTCCCCTCCAGCACCTGGCCTCGTCAGTGCTGACCCCTAGGCCACCGGGATGGGGGCCCGGCAGCACGGCCTCTTGCTTCCCATTGGCCATTCCCAGACAGAGACTCGGGCCGGTGCACATGCTCAGTCCCCGCGTGCAGCCAGCCTCTTCGTGAGTTGTGCATTCAACTGTTTTGGTATCTCCATGGGGCTGTTTCATTAATTGTGAGTCTTGAGATTTTTTGGATGCAAGTCCCTGGATGGAGTTGTGATATGCAAATATTTTCTGCTAATCTGGGCTGTCTTTTCCTTCACTCATGTGGTGTCATTTCCAGAAGCCCTCACTTAGTTCCAGGGTCCCCAAGATTTCCCCCCATGTTTTCTTCCACCAGTGACACTTATTATACTTAGTTTCTGGATACTGGACATGCACCAGGAGGGCATGCAGCTCCTGCCAGGCGCTGTGCCCGCCTTCCACCACCCATCCCTGTCTAGGGGGCTCTGGCTCTGGCCGAAGCCACAGGTTCCATGCATGACTCTGACCTCACTCCTGGCAGCAGTGCAAACTGGCACAGCTTTTCTGAAAAGGAGTTGGCAGTGAATTCTGTCTTTCAAAATTTGAAAAAGTTCTTACCCTCTGGCCCAGTAATACCGCTTTTGGGAGTCTTTCCTAAGAAAACAAGAAAAACCAGGCAAAGAGCTTTTGTGCACAAAAGTACATGCTGCAGGATGATTTACAATCCCAAAGCACTGGGAATAAATATCTGGACACTGGAAGGGAGGGGCAGACACATTTGAAGACTACTTTGCATCAATTAAGCTTTAAAAAATATGTTTAGAAAGACCCCTATTGACATGAAAAAGGCTTATAACACATTAGAACAAAAAAAGCAGAATACAAATACATGTAGTATAATCTCAACTATTTTTATGAAACACTAAACCTCAAAACAAGGGGGAAATAAAGGCTAACCATGCCATCTCCCAGTGGATTATGGGAACTTACTCTATTACCTCTGGCTGTCTTTACTTAGTTTCCTACAATGAATACAAATTTCTGTACAATAAAAAGTTTATAAAGAATTTAAAAATTACATACAAGCCAGGGCCAGTGGATGATCTTGTCCAGTCTTAAGGCGATGAATATAAACTGCAGAATGTTGACAGAACACAGGATTTCTAGCTAAAAATGAAGAGAAGCAGCAGTTACGCCAAGTGAACCCTGTTTGCTGTCAGCCTGTGACTGCTTAGTGCACTGAAAGGGGCGCGGGGCCAGCTCGGGAGCTCCCAAGTCAGGCTCGGCCCCCCTGATGCTGGCCCGGAGGAGCAAGGCAGTGCTGCGAGCAGAAGCCTCAGGCCTCCCTCCACGCCACTTCCCTCGGGCTGGGCCCTTCCCTGCCTGCCCTAGGTGATGGCCTGGCCCCTCAGAGTGTGGCAGCTCCTTCCTGTGCTCCCAAGCCCCTTGCCGCCCCTTGTCTCCAGGCACCACTAGCACAGCCCTCCCTCCCTGTTTCTGCTTCTGGATTCAGGACCCAGCCCTGCAGCCCATTCCTTTCTGGCTCCTGCGGGACCCCCCCATGTCAAAATATCAAGTATATATAATTGCCATTTTGCTACATACGTATGCACTGCTTACCCCACCTATCCGGCTGCTCTCACTAGAAGCACAGAAACAAGTTCGACTCATTCCCATTGAAAGACAAGACCCAAGACAGAATGAGCCCACCCCTCAGGGCAGTACCCCCTTGAGCCCTGTTCTCTGTTACCACCACTCTGAGTGAGAGTCCTGGGATAGGCCAGGCATGGGCAGCACCTAAGGATGCTGACACGCCTCCCTCCTTCCACCTCTGCTGCTGGGCTCCGGGAGCAGCTGCACACGCCCCTCCCCAGCCTCCCTTCTCTCCCCTTAAACGGCGATGCTCTCCAGAGGCCTAGATACAGGCTTCTGCGCACACTTGCACACACGGCTCTGCAACACATCTGGAACAGGCAATGCCCGGTGGGTCAGGCTGCGCACTTGTTACTGCCCAGCCCCGAGGAGCCCTCCCTCGGGGGGGAGGGGGGCGTGCAAGGGCGCAGAGTAGAGCGGTGGCGGGGGCAGGCTCCGAGCCAGGCTGACGCATGGGACCTTGGCTCTGCCAGATTAGTCCAGGCACAGATCGAGTCCCATGCAGAACACTGGTGCATGCCTGCCTCCAGGATGCTGCGCAGCGGGGCCCCGCGCCAAGCCTGGCACTCAAAGCCCACTACGTGCCGTGGAGACCCTGCCCTCTGGCAGACAGGGCCCAAGGCTACCAGAGAGCAGCGAGTGCTGCCGGGCACAGACAGAGCTCGCGTAATGTGGCCAGTGACTTAACAGGACACCCTTGAGGCTCTGCAGTGAAGGGCAGCCTGACTCTAAGGAGAGGACCCTGGTAATGTGTGGTCTCTTATCCTTGAGAGAAGAAACAGTCCATGGGGATGGACTGTCTCCAGGCTTCAGCACTGGCTCCTGTTGTGTCTCGGCACCACAGCCCCCCACAGCCCTACACACTGCAGACTCGCAGCCCCCAGTCGCAGGAGCCAGCACCTTCCTATCACCTCCGAAGAGCTGCATGTACTCCAACCTCCAGGGCTATTCCTCAGGCAAAACCTGAAGATGCAGGGCCAAGGAGGAGGCCCGAAGGGAAGGAAGCCTGGGTGCCTGGGGGGAAAGCAGGCTCTGGGTCAGGGTGATGCCACCATCCCTTGTTCCTGTGTGAACCTTGTACCTTGCTCAGAGTTAACGAGCCCCCCTTCCTAACAAAGGGCAAGAAATCGACATGAAGATGGCTGACGGAAACACTTCACCCTCTACAACATTCTTAAAGGTGTGAGCTCCCACCTCAAGGGACCGGTCGTGTCGAAAGCCCCAGACACAGGCGGCAACAGACACCGGCGACACGAAGAAGAGCGGCATGAAGACCAGGAGCCAGAAGTGGCCCCCCCTCTCGATCCTGTCACAGACCAGGACTTCGAACATCAGCAGCAGCAGGTGGATGCCCACGGCGATCAGCATGGCTTTGAACTCCACACACGTTTCTCCTTCTGCTCTGAAAAGGGAAGAAGAAAAACACTCTCAGTCCGGACTCTGTGTGATAATCAAGCGGCTCAGGGCCAACGGCATCCTGTGCCACCCCTTGGGCCATACCTCTGATGAAAGGGCACTCGGGCCAAAAGCTAATTTGAACCTCATCCTAGCAGGCCATCTTGCTAACTGCATCTTTCTAACCGCACAATGCCAGTGCGGAGACTTAGTCTGGACTGTGCCGAAAGCCTCAGAAGTAGCCATTACTACTCCCGACAGCACACACACTGAATTCTTTTGTGCGGAATTTCAAATTCAGCGACTCCCCAAATCATTCCAGCTAACTGTTTCTGCCACTAAAAACAGACAAATGTCCCCTCGAGCCCATGGTTCTCACCTGTCCACAAATGAAAAGCCACCTGAGTCATATTTCATAAAATATGACACAAAGAATTTTAGCATTGTGAGCAAATGTGGGGTATATTTCAAGAAAATGTGGTAACTTGTGAGTGCTGTTTTAAAAGGCAAATAACTAACAAGTGTGGATGCCTTGTTATTGTCCTTTCTAGTCCATTAGGATGACTTAATACCTGCATATGAAAAAGAGCCAAAGCGGTCAGTTTCATTAGCTGTTTAATTACCGGGCATGAACTCTTGCTCTAGAAACTTCTCATTTTCAGTGGCACCAACAAAGCCCAATAGTTTGTAAATATCAATCAATGGAAACTAAAATGTTTGACTTTTCACTCCTGAGTGGCAAACATTGAACGTCTGAAGCGTCCCAGACAAGTGGAAAATGTCCTAGCCTCACAGGTCATCTTTGCCGACGAGCCTAAGAACTTGAACACGGCTCCCCACGACAGGCCTCGGCCTTCCCAGGCTTCTGCGCAGCCCTTTCGGAGTTCTCACGTCCATATGTGGTGACAGACGCTTTTCAAACTGTCAACCACAATGAAACATGTTGAGGCACGCACAATTTCTACACTTAACAGTCCCCTTTCTCTCTCTGGAGTTCCACTGGGCAGGGACTGGAGCCTCTCACGGGCCAGCGGCACGAAGCGCAAGTTGGCCGAGGCAGCCAGGAAGAGGTGCCCCCCTAGGCTCACCTGTCCCCATCTTCTGGACAAGCTACCTCCCCCACACCACTGTGAGTACCAACAGCCCCAAATCTGGAGACAGAGAAAGGGCAGCCCCAGTCCCAAGTGAAAGAGAAAAAGATACAGGCCTGAGGCCAAAACTACAATGTAGGCCTGTAGAGCTGCCCCACAGCACAGCAGCCTCACGCTTCCTCATCTAACCATGGGCAACAGCTCTGTATTTGGGGTGCACTGGAGACTGCATAGTTTTGTAAGCTGGCTAGGTACATTACTACCCAAAGCAATACTGATTTTCTAAGAAAATACAGAGCAAACACCTGATTTTCCAAAACATAGACTTCCAAAACGTACAACTCAGCCTGCCTATAGTATTGGTCTTACACTCCCTAGGCAGGAAGAAGATAGCCCTCAGTTTATCAAAAGCGAAAAATGAGATACTGCCTCCTCAGGAAGAGATGGGGCAAAGGGCCGTATTACCGATACTGGGGGTTGCGTGCCCAGACTCCAGTTCCGACGGAGGCTCCGACAATGACCATTAGCTTCCACAGCCATATGGGAGCAAAGACAGCCCAGTAGCTCCACTGAATGATGCCATCCAGACGAAGGGCCAGCAGCACAGAGAACAGCAGCAGACAGGCGTAGATGAGGAATTTACTAGGAGAAGAGTAAAATGATTAAAGAGGGTTCACTTTCACCAGCATGTGCCAGCGAGACAGTGAAACAGCGGCATTTTTCAGAACATGAAGAGTCACTGATTTAACAACTGCTCACGAAGACTAACAGCGAGGAGCTGTGCGCAGTGCCTGTTGCCCAGGGCTTCCGTAGGAGGGAGCGCGTGGCAGGCGTCTTGTCATAGCAGCTCGTTGCGCGCAGTCAAGGCGCCGTGGCGGGCGGGTGGGGTGGGGGTGGTAACAGAGCCCGGAAGAGGAAATGCCAACTCTGTCAGGGGCTCTGGGAAGCAGCGAGGTGGCGACTGTGGAGCTGGTGTGGGTGATGTGTGAACGGCGGCTGGCAGTGAGGGCATGAGATGGGGCAGCTTCCGGGCAGCCCAACTAGCCGAACGCGTCGGCACATTCAGGACAACGTCGCGTCTGTCACTGACTAATTATCGTAAAAGGCAGTCATCGGCCATGTGCACACGCAGTAACATCTCAGTACGTGAGCTGTATTTGTTTGACTGAATGGCACACACGTGCACGCGCACACACATACAAAAGGGACTTAGTAAAGAGGATGTCCTTAAGATGGTAACTAAAAGTTACATTGCTGAGCACATCTACTTCCAGCCCTGATGTGGTAAGCAAGATGGGAATTCCCTCCCCACTTTACATAAGAAAGTGGCTAAAACAGTTTGTAGACACTGGGAAATAGACAGGGGAGGAATGAGCCAGCAGAGAAAGGAAAGAGGGTGCCTCTGTGACAGCCTCAGCTCCCTGCCAGGAGGCAGTGTGCAGGACCAGCCAGAGGAAGCGATACTCACACCTCCTGACATTTATGGGAGTGCAAAGGGCCTGAATATCAATTAAAAGACAAAGATTGTTGGACTGGATTAAACAAAAGCAAGGCAATGAAATGTTATCTAAGCAACCCATTTCTCTAAAAGGTCACAGATTAAAAGTAAACAGAAAAAGTTATAGCAAGCAAACCCTAACTGAAAGTTGGAGTGAATTATTATGTTTCAATCTTCTATTGGTGCTGTAAAAAATTACCACAAGCTTAGTAGCTTGAAACGATACACAAGTGTATGGTCGCTGGAGTGCACGTGCCAATCCAGACAGGTCTAGTTAGTTTCTCTGCTTGGAGTCTCTTCAGACCAAATCAAGATGTCAGTGCCTGGGCTCTTCTCATGGGACCCTGGGAAGGCTCTCTCACGCTTGTCTGACTGAGGGCCCAGGTGTTCTGCTCGACTGTCAGGTCGTGGCCACCTCAGATCCTGGAGGTGATTTAGAATGATCAGCTCCTGACCTCAAAGTCAGTGACACCATATTGACTGTCACTCATGAAATGTCTGACTGCTCCTGCTTTTAAGAGTTCACATGATGAGCTTGTGTGCACCTGGACAGCTGACCCTACTGTTCCCATCTTAAAGTCCCTATCTGTGACAGTCAAGACTCTACGGTATTCATTCCCCAAGATTCCTCCCCTGTCATTTGATCAAATGTTAGTCTAGATACTGGCATGAATGGATTTTGCAGGTGGGGTTCACATTACTGGGACAGTAGCCAGACGTCCAGGTAGGGCAATATGATCACATGAGCCCTTAGAAGCACAAGAGCAAGCCAAGGGGCTGCAGTGCGCCAGGAGAGAGGAGGCAGAGGGAGTCAGAACTATCCCAAACGTGGGACACCTCTGCCTGCCCTCGCTGGCTCTGATGATGCAGCGAAGAAGCCCGGGAATGCAGCAGTTCTCTGGAAGCCCGGTGGGGTGGCCAGGAAATAAGCAGCGGGCACAAGTCGCCCACGGGCAGCAGCGACCCACTGCAGGTCCCACCGCATGACAAGGGTTAGAAGTGTTATGCAAGTAAATTTCCTGAAAGACATAATCAAAGTTAATATTAGAAGCAACAGATACTTTCATGTCCCTGTATCTATTAAAGAAACTGAAATTATAGTTAAAATCCTTTCACAAAGAAAATGCTGGCAAAATCTACCCAACACATAAGGGAGAAACCACCAATTTTTCACAAACTCTTGCAGAAAACGATGAGGGAGACATCCCCCAATTTATTTTTGAGGGCAATATTAATCAATGTAATTCACTGTATTACCAGAATGAAAACAAAAAAAGCCACTATTCCCTCAACAGCCCTACAGAAAGCACTCACATGCTTCACCACCCACTCGAGACCAAAGCGCTACGCAGAGTTGGAAGAGACGGGCATGGGCGCAGGCCTAGGCGTAAAGCTCAGCGACAAGGCTGACCACCCCCCCGAAACCAGAAACAAGGCAAGCAGGTCTCCTCGGTGCCTTTATTCAGCATTGCACTGCAGTCCTGGCCACAGCGCTGGGGAGGGAAAGGCTCAGCTGAGAGGAGTAAGCTGATACCTGCAAGCAGACGATGAACATCCCAACTTACAACAAAGGCTACCAGGTCCAATACGTGAATTGACAAAGTTGCAGATAAAAGTACAAAAACATTGCATTTCCATTTCATTACTAGAAGCAGTGAGCAAATAGACACAGAAATTAAAAAAAAAAAAAAAACATTTACTGCAACCTCCCTGTACATCTAAGACTATTCTAAAAGGTAAAGCCTGTGGGTGCCTTGGGGATGGGAATGGTGTGGTAACAACACCTGCAGGGTGTGACCCCTCAAACCCCTCAAATCACATGTATTACTGGTAAAACAATGCTACCCCATGGAAAAAAATTAAAGCTTATGAAAAGGCTACCACAGAAATAAGAAATCTAAGAGAAGTGTAGTCCGTGCACACGCCCACCTACCTCTACAAGACCCAAGTGAACAGGGCCCCACTGTTTATAGCAGCTCACAAACTCCACCACTGTTAGGATGTGCACCCCCAAGCACCCCCTCCTGTGGTAACTGCACACCACCAACTTGGTGGCTGTGGCTGATGTGCCCAGGGCAGGCTCAGGGTAGTTGCAGGCGGGCAAGTCCTAGAGTCTTTGCTACACTCGCAGGCCTCTAGTGCCAAGTCAGTGCACAGGCACAGCAGGCAGGGAGGCGGGCAAGCCAGCAGGCAGGCAGAGGCCTCCCAGCCCCCGTGCAGCGTTGCGCTCTTTCTCTGGCCTCCCTGGCGTTCTGTCTCAGGTCCTCAGAGTGGCACCTCCTGCCGCTGCTGCCTGTGCCATCTCCTCTCGGCACAGATGACGCACTTACACGCACACCCGTGCTCTTTGGGCCCAAGTGTCAGTGATTACAGGCTCATGTGCCCCGGGCTCACACTACCGAGGCTTCTTTACAGGCCGCAGGTGGTGGCTATAGAGCTCGCCCCGGGAAGGTGGAACAGAGCCCAACCACTCACCTCCTGCAGTGGCGTAACACAACGCTCTCTCATCCCACACAGCTGTGGTGACCAGGGATCCAAATGGGCTTCACTGAGTTACAACCAAGGCGTCAGAGGCCCCCCCATTTCCTCAGGCGATCAGGAGAGAGCCATCCCCCCCCTTTCCAGTGTCTAGGGCTGCATCCCCAGCCATTTCCTGTGCCCTCCAGATCAGCAGTCCAGCACCTTCAAGTTCTTTCCCAGCCTCCACTGCGTTGTCTTCTCCAGAGTGCTTGCTCTTGGCCTCCCTCAGAAGAGAGCTGCGACTGACACCATTTAGGGCCCACCTGGCTCAGCCAAGAGAGCCAGATGCTCTCCCCATCTCAAGAGCTTTAGCTCAACTGCATCTCTGCCATAGAAGGTCATGCTCACAGGTTCCATGGGGGTAGGAAATGCGTCCTAGAGGACCATCATTTAACCTACTACACCCACAAACTAGTCAAAAATCTCCGTGCACATCAACAAGTTCTGATGTAGAAACTGACCTTCTGATTCTGAAGTTACATGAAAATGCAAAGGACCTAGAATGGGCAAAACAACGGCAAAAAAGAGGCAAGTGGGAGGGCCCGCACCATGTGCTCTAAGGGTCTCATGTTAGGCTACAATTCCGACGCACTGTGGCATCGGCACCAGGAGAGCAGTCAGGCGCAGGGGGTCCACAACAGACCCCGTGCCGGTCAGTGCATTCGTGAACAGGCCGCCAGGAACATGTCCACAGTGGTACTGAAACAGTGGGAGGGGGGCACTACCGCAACCTTGCTGCACACACACAAATCCACACAAACTGGATTGCAGAACTGAAGGGGACAGGCAAACGCATGACACGTCTGGGAAACACAGGGCGCAAAGTACTTGACACCCACGGTCAGGCTAAGATTATGTAGAATACAAAGTTGGACTTGTTCAAAATGACAAACTCTCACGCTCTGAACGACACAATTAAGAATATGAAAAGCCAAGTCACAAACTGGGTGCACTCTGAAAACCTCTCACCCAGTACCTGTATTCAGGCTGCATAGAAAGGATTTTTATGAGCGCCTAAGAAAACAACCTGATTTGAAATGGCAAAGGCAGACGCTCCATCAGGCAAACATGCCAAAAGACTCCTTATTTTCAGTCATTAAGGAAATGCAAATCAGAACGTCTACACCTACTCCAGGGGCTGAACTGTAACAGTCTACACCTACTCCAGGGGCTGAACTTGAAAGGCCCAAGCGGGACCATGGCAAGGCGGCAGTGAAGAAAAGTGATGCCACCCCTGCTGAAGGGCCTCGGCGTACTCCTGTAAGGTCAGCACACACTTGGCCTCAGCAACACCACGCCAAGGATTAGCCAGGCAAAAGGAAGAACGTGTGTCCATACCGAGACGTGGATTCAGCAGTTCAGAGCAGCTTCATGTAACAGCTGCTGCAAACAAACCAATGTCCACAAACTGGTAAATGGTTAAACCAATTGTGACACATCCACCTGGTAGAAGACGCAGCCGCAGTAAGGTGCCAGGAACAAACTGGGGTCATGAGGCAACCTCGGCACCCTGAGCTAGGTGAGGTCATTCAAGCTGGAGGCACAGCCTACTTACGACTCCACTTACTTGACGTTTTGGAAAAGGCAAAAATAGTGACAGAGAAAAACAGCTCAGGGTGGCTACGG